TTCTTTCTTATTGTTAACTTTATGCTCTATTAAGTAACAGATGTGTTTCATACGCCTTCATTACGAAAAACAGATTCCCAAAGATAATTATTAAAAAAAAATTAAATATATATTTTATATTTATTGTTTTATTGTGCTTTAAACCTTAAGTACCCTGTCTTGCGCCACTCTCCCCTATATTTTAATTAAAAATTTTATCTACTTTTAATTTTAAAATACGTTGAAGCTATAATATAATATTAGTTGTTTATTTTATTATGTAGAATTAAATATAATAAGTGATATGTATTTTCTGTTACGAAAATGAGTACAATAAAATGTTCCGTAGAATATTATTATGTGAAAATTGACAATTCTGATCTCGTATATGGAGATGGGCAGTGGCCAATGGTGAATTCGCCATTAATATTTAATGAAGTAGCTTCCATATTCCCCATGTGTCCATTTTTCTATTCCCTGCACCCCGACCTCTTGACCATAGTTTACTCCTAGTGTTATTTAAATTACAAATCAATACTCCATTCTCCGTTTGACGTTGTTTAACATATCTTGCGAATTATGAGTATATATATATATATATATATATATATATATATATATATACATATACAGTAAGAAAAGCTATCCGTCAGTCATAGGAAAGTATGGGAATCGCATAAGTCTGTCTCACTCCCACTCATGGGATATGACTGACGTGGTAGGTTTTCGTACTGTATATATATATATATATATATATATATATATAAAAATTCAGATACGTATATTGCAATATTGTGAATCATATTTCTTTGTATTTCAAAAATATTTAACAAGAGAAAATGTTTTCCCTTTATTTATTGCGAGAATAATTTAAATATTTTTCTATTCAACTATTTTCATCTTTAAAATTAAAAGGTTATATTTATAATAAATATACTTATTTTATTTAATATAATTGTATTAAATATTGTAATACTATGAGATTATAGTTAACAAATATTTGTATTCGATTGAATTTTATTTTTTTATTAATATTTATTAAAAATAGTGTAAAAGAAAATTTTAATTACTATGACAAACGATGGCTTTGAAGTTTGTTTTTTTATCTCGATGTTACTCTCGATGAGTTTGCCTCCAACTTCAAGTTAATTAAATTTACAATTACATTTAAAAAGAACTCTTTTTTTATTAACTAAATAAAATATAAAATGCCTTGTTATAGAAAGGACAGTTTTGACAATGAAAGTGTACGAAATGCGAGAAAAAATGGATTGAATAACTTAAGTAATTATGAAAACTGTCAGAATCAGGTGAAAGTTGTATATCTATTTCTTTACTTTTTTTATTTTTAATAAGGCAGTAAACTATGAGGTATTAAAAAGTATTGCACCTTAAATTTACATAAGAAAAGATATAAATTATCCATTTTTGAATTAATTTTTTCTATATTAAAAATGGGTCTCTAAGTCAAAGGCAAATCATTAAAAAACAAATCATTTAAAACCCCACAATTTTCTGCAAAATATTTTGAATTATTTTAAATTAGTATAAAATATTTCTTTAAAAAAAATGTTTTTTATCGTTTAAAAAATTTATTAACTAAAATTTTTTTATGTTTATAAAGAGACGAAATATTGAAATTGAACATTCTACCAGATTTTCAATTCGAGTAATGGAAGCAATGCGTTCTCTTCAAAAAAGAAATAACGACCGATCCTTGACCTCATCAAATATCAAGGACATAGCGGAATATATAAAAGCGAATTATAATTTTGATGGAGACCTTGATGCACAAGTGCAAACTGTTCTATCACGAATCTGGCGTCAAGGGTTAGACGATAATTTGACACTTACTTATAAACATTAAAAAAATTTTTATTATTATTATTGCAAAAATTATTATTATTATAAATTAAAAAATATAATCCCGATTCCTCTATTTAAGAACGAGGAATTTTTTTCAGAAAGATATAAATGACACAAAAATTGAAAATAAATAAAAGAAACAAAAGGCCCCAAAAAGTTAAAACGCGTGTGAAAAGTCAAAATATATTTTTTCGATTAGTAGATGTTTTGGAGTAACAAAATCATAGTTTTAATTTTTTCCCTCGCGTAGTTCAGCTGTAGCTGCAAATTTTGCATTTTCGAGTAACTTCTACTATTTTTTTCCAAATCAAACAGTAAGAAATGTTTAGGTTTTAATTGACCTCGATTGGATTAAAAATGACAATTCTACAGTAGATTGAGTGAACGACACTACTTTTTTAATTTTTAGTATCCCTTCAACATTTGCAGCAAAAAATTCAAACAATAAATTTAAATAAGCGCTTAAGTTACTAAAATCACTAATCAAAAGTTTCTTGAGTCGCTGATTTTGAATCAGCAGTGAGTGGCCTCTGGGCCACTCACTGCTACCCGACTCAATTTAACAACAAAAGAGTAAATAATAGGATAGTGTGGGGTAAAAAGCCAAGGGTGCAAAAAAGACATTTAGCTTTTATTTTGAAACTATTGAACTATTTTACCAGCCGTTTGGAGTATAAGTTTAATTAAGTAAAACTCAACTTTTGATTCTAGTTTGGCTGTCGTATCGATAATATTATAGTTGTTATTGTAATTTGTATTTTTTAACTGCTTGTTTCGATGACTGTGAATTGAAAGCAGGTAAACTTAACATAAAATACAATTTTGGACGCTAAAAACTTTTCTAAATTATTTATTTGTTATACAGATAAAAGAAAAATATAATATTACAAAATTTGATAACAAAATATTTTGACAAAATCACGAAATGGCTTTTTCACCCCACCAAGTGGTGCAAAAAAGCCATATGCAGAACTTTTGTAATACTCTTATAACTTTGTCCTTTCACGGAATACAAAAAAATGTTCTACAAGGATTTTGAAGCTAAATAACTAAACTTTCACTAACAATTAGAAATTTGAAAAAAGAAATTTAAATTTCGATTTTATAGTACCAAAAGTAAAAAAGTAGCTTCTTTACCCCACTCTACCCTACTGCTTAAAGATAAGTTCAAAAATTTAAGTTAAAACGTATTTTCTCACGGTTTTCTCAAATCGTTCAAACTTTCACTTTTCTTATAAACTTACTCACAAAAGCAATTGAAAACTGCAAAACATGTGCTAGCATGTGCTAGTCAGAGTCGAGTCCACCCTTTTTTTATGACATTACATGCGCTCAACCCTGGCTAGCGAATCTCATTAGTTTTTGACTAAAAAGACTTTTCCAAAAACATGAAAAATGACATCTTACAGAAAAACATTGCTTTTCTCCCCTCTTTTTCTGGTATCGGTACATCGGGTAAAGGATAAGGCCCTTTTTGCTCAAATCGGGTAGTTACTTCGCTTTTGCCTTAGCTTTCGTACAGACCTCGCAAAAGTGTTAACGTTAACCGGACATTCAAAAGTCACGAGTCTATTCTCAACAAACTGTTATTTGATCATATCAAAATCAAGTTACTCTCTAAAAAAAAGGGGATAACATTCTGGATATGTCCGTATGTGAAAGTCTATTATCTATGTTGATTCTCTTCTTGCGGGCCCTTATGAGTTGTGTTATCCCTGCAAGGGACCCATTCTCGACCTTCCAGAGTGTTATCATTCTCACAAAAGGTTATCAATCTCTTAAAGTCATCATTCTCATATAAGTTTACCTTCCTTAAGATTATCACTCTATTAAATGTGTTATCAATATACGAAAAGTTATCACTCAATTAAGATACTTTATCATTTTCAACAACATGTTATCTTTTTCGTAAAAGTTATCACTCCAATAACAGAGTTATAAAATTGATAAAACGTAGGGGAGAGTCTCTAGTTGTGAGACGGGTTTCATTTTTGACCCGTAAATTGTAAACGGGCAAACGAAATTGTAAATAAAATACACCGTTCGAAAGGTAACAGAAATACGCAACTTTTATTAAAAGAAAGTATAGTGTTTCGATGAACTCAAAAAATTTTACGATACATTTTCCGAGCACATCGCTTTTTTCAAAAAAAAAAAATGTCTCCAGTTGTGAGACACTCATTAAAAATTGATAAAATTTAATAAGTTTGACATAAAACGTTATGTTTAGTAGAAATAATGAAATATATTAATAAAATATATTATTATATACTAAATAATAATATTTATTCGCCAAAATATGACTATCAAATAAACACAATTTAATAGCTTTAACAAGAGCATTAAAATTGATTTCTTCTGAATCAATTGACTTTTTTCCACTTGACATGCCCAAAAATACTAGAAAAAAAATCAAAACAACATTTAAATAGTATGCCTGCAAAGTCGTATTTTTTATGCTGCCCAGATGGGTGTTGACACCGTCTCACAACTGGTGATATGCTGTGTCTCACACCCAGAAATTGGCGCTATTTTGAAAAAGGAAAATTAAATTATTTTCAACCGTAAATTGGAACAATGCAATGTTGCATCACAAAATATAAGGAAAACACTAAAAGAAAATGCATTACATTTACCTTTTTCAATTAATTAAATTGCAAAAAAAGTACTTTGCATTTATTGAAAAAACGCTTTTTAGTCGATTATCACACACAGTGTTGGTATTTAACAAAAACAGTTTATATATCCGTTTCGGTGTACACGAAATAGTTGGCTCATATAAAAAGAAATGTTTTTATATAAACCAATCAGCTTTTTAATATTGCATGTTAAAAAAAATTGACTGTCTCACAACTGGAGGTGTCTCACAACTGGAGACTCTCCCCTACTCTCAATCGTATCAAAAGTGTTATCATACAATATAATTGTGTTATCATCTGTTTATAATGTGTTATCATTCAAAATAAGTGATGTTATCTATTTATTGAACAATAATAAACTACTATTTTTTGTGTATTTTATACGTGTTAATTCTTTGTATTTTATTCAAATGAAAATACGTGACATTCTCTAAACATTTTTGGTCCTTCAAGCCGGATATTAAGTGATATTTTGGATATCAGTTCAAGTGATTTTAGTTTTCATCTGTGTTCAAAATGAGAGTGTCTCATATAAAAAATTATCTTGACGATCAAGTGTCGCATATGGATTTTATATCAAGTGCTGTGAATAACTTAACAAGTGTTGGTGTGTCTAATGTGCCATCACATCGTATTGAAACGCAAAAAACCGCCCTTCAAGAGGAATGGAGTAAATTTACATTGAAAAATGATGCAATTAAAATTGCTGTCCGTCGATTAACATCGCGAGATAATGAAACCATTCTTCGACGCTCTTATTTTTCTGAAAAGCTTTTCAATGACACACAAGAAGCATATCTTAAAGCTTTGGAAACTATGAACTCGATGCTTGATCGCTTAAAAAAGGACTCACGTTCCCCTTCTGTTCAATCAGGTTCACAAGTGTCATCTTTTCCCTCAAGCGGACATTCCGGTCCACGTTTACCTTATTTAAATTTACCGAGTTTTGATGGTTCTCCCTCGGAATGGCTACCTTTTAAAGATTTGTTTGATTCTATGGTGTTATTAAATTTATCTTTATCACCCGTCTGGAAACTACACTATTTGAAACAATGTCTCAAAGGAACTGCAGCTCATTTACTAAAAAATACAACGTTAACAAATGACATTTTTCAAAAGGCATGGGATTCTTTAGTCGCTTTCTATGAAAATAAAAGATTATTAGTCAATTCAGCTTTGCATTCATTCATCACACTCAAAAGAATGACAAAGGAATCATCTGTAGAAATTGAAACTTTATATACTTCTGTCACGCAAATTCATCGTTCTTTAGAAACTCTCAGCAGACCAGTTGATAAGCAGGATGATTTCTTCGTTTTTCTAACTGTGCAAAAACTGGATTGCGACACAATTAATGCCTGGGAGCTGCATTTAGGCTCTTCTCAAGACCCTGCGACGTGGAAAAAACTCGTTAAACTTTTACTCACTAGACTGTTAACTCTCAAAGCTGTAGAAAAATCACGTAAACCTGCAAATTCATTAAGTTCACAACCTGCAAGAGTGAATTTAGCATCAGAGGATCAACAGAACAATACTCAGTGCTCTTTTTGTTCCGAAGAACATTATATAGCTAAATGTCCGGAATACACGGGAAAAACTGTTCAAGACCGCACTGAATTAGTAAGAAAGAATAGACTATGTTACAACTGTCTCGGATCACATCGTGTTGCTGATTGCCGTTCGACAAGACGTTGTATGAAATGTGCTAAAAAACATCACACAACCATTCATCGAGCTAATAAAGAAAATTCTGACAAAGCTACCAAAGAAAATAATGAAACTTCTTCTTCCGATTCAAATGCTTAAGTGAACTGTGCATCAGTGAATCAAACTTCTTCACCTTCCAAAACTATCTTAGCAACAATTCAACTCATTGCAGCATCTGATCAAGGAGAAGAACTCAAAGTCAGAGCTTTAGTTGATCCAGGATCTCAAATTTCTTTTATTTCCGAAAAACTTGTGCAAAGCTTGAAACTTCCGCGTCAAAATACATCTGTTCCGTTAATGGGAATTGGTGCTGTCAAGGCTGGTCGAACTCGAGGTATTGTTTCGATCAATTTACGCCCTCACTTCGAATCATCGACGAAATTACAAATGAGAACATATATTTTACCGAAATTAACTGCTCGCTTCGCATCTGCAAAAATTAACAATGTTCAATGGACTCATCTCAACGATCTTCAACTTGCTGATCCTGATATCACTTCGCCGAGCGAAATTGATATAATCATTGGAGCTGATTACTATGGATTAATTTTGGAAGAAGGAATTCGTCGTGGATCTTCATCGTCTCCAACTGCTCAAGCAACAAGTTTTGGTTGGATTCTTTTTGGTCCATCAAATTCATCACCAGCAATAATGCATTCTGAAAGTCATCACGTGTCACTCGACGAGGAGTTGTATGATCTGCTTTAAAATTTTTGGAAATTGGATGATGTACCTACTTCCAAGTCATCTGTTCTTTCACAAGAAGATCAAGAATGTGAAGATCATTTTAAATCCACACATACACGAGATAAAAATGGTCACTATATCGTTTGTTATCCTCTCAAGAAATCAACATCACTCTTGGGAGATTCAAGGAGCAGTGCTGTGAGAATGATTTTTAAATTAATTGCTCGGATGAAAAGTGACCCTAAATTGAAGGAAGCCTACAGTGAATTTCTTCAGATCTATGAAGATTTGAAACATATGGAACCTGTGTCAACATCCGGAAAAGATTCGCTTAAAGGTGCTTTTTATCTTCCCCATCATGGAATCATCAAGGAAAGCAGTATCACCACTAGACTACGCGCAGTATTCAATGGATCATTTAAAACATCTACAGGCGTCTCCCTCAATGAGATCCTTCACATTGGAACAAAGTTGCAAATTGACATTCTCGATGTGCTTCTTTGGTTTCGACAGTACCGTTATGTGTTCACCAGAGATATAGAGAAAATGTATCGGCAAATCAAGGTTCATGCTGATGATCAGAAGTTATAAAGAATTCTATGGATGGATTCTACAAACAACATTGTTGATTATCAGCTGACAACTGTGACATATGGACTTGCGTGTGCTCCGTTTCTCGCCCTTCGTACCGTGCAACAGCTGATCGAGGATGAAGGTTCCAGATTTCCCTTAGCTGTACCAACTTTTACTAAAGGAAGATATGTTGATGATACGTTTGGAGGAGCTCATTCAATTACAGAAGCTCAAGAAGTTGTTCATTAAGTCAATGATCTGTGTGAAGCAGGCGGATTTTCCCTTCAAAAATGGACAAGCAACGAACCCGCTATTTTGCAAACACTACCAGCTGAGAAGCAATCAGCTGCTGAGTCCAGATCAATTGACCAAGGTTCTGCAACTTTGGTTTACACGTTAGAAATGAAATGGAATCCTGCAACAGATACCTTCCATTTCACTTCAACTCTACCATGTGATTCTAAAGTGACGAAAAGGACAACTTTATCAACAATTTCTAAACTTTATGATCCTCTTGGATTATTAGCTCCTGTTGTGATTACTAGTAAGATCTTGATTCAAGATCTTTGGGCACTCAAGCTTGGATGGGATGAACAATTACCTCCGCATCTCACTGCAAAATGGAATGCGTTCATGGATCAACTAAAGGACATCAATGTACTCCCGTTTCCTCGATGGATTAAGATCACACCAGATGCATCCTTGGAATTACATGTATTTTGTGATGCATCTCAACTCGCTCTGTCTACTGCTGTGTACCTTTGCGCTGTTGATCTAGACGGAAAAGTACAAACCTCTCTTGTTTGCGCAAAAACAAAGGTCGCTCCCATCAAACGACTAACTATTCCTCGCTTGGAATTGTCTGCTGCTGTAATTGGATCGAAACTAGTTTATCATGTTCAGCAGGTCTTAAACCTGGAAAAAGTGGCGATCCATCTTTGGACTGATTCAGCAATAACTTATACTTGGATCAACAATCACCCATCTCGCTGGAAGGAATTTGTGCATAATCGAATCTGCTTTATTCAAGAGTTAATTCTAACTGCGAAATGGTATTTTATGCCTGGAAAGGAAAATCCAGCTAATCTTGCTACTCGAGGTCTCAGTCCAGTGGAACTTGCTCAAAATAAACATTGGTAGACTGGTCCAGATTGGCTTTAGGAATCTGTTAAATCATGGCCCAGAACTTTAGAACCACCTTCAGAACAAGACAATTTGGAAGAACGTCCAGCTGCCGTACATCTCAACAACACCACACCTAATAACAAGAGCTGGAATTTACTGACCCAATTTTCAGATTTGAACAAGCTTCTGAGAATCACAGCTATTTGGAAGAGATATTCACTGATTCTGAGAAAAAAAGCAAACAACATTGTGAAATCACCACTCAGGAACTTGATGATGCTAAACAATCATTGGCTCTGATTACACAACAACAGATGTTCCAGAAGGAAAGAAGTGTACTTTTAAAAGGAGAATCCCTCTCAGCAACACACCTTCTCGCTCGACTGACACCATTCATTGATTCTCAGAATCTTATGAGAGTTGAAGGAAGACTAAATGCATCATATTTACCATTCAACTCGAAACACCCCATCATTTGACCTCGCGAATCTCCAATCACTCAACTAATTATCTCCGACGCTCACCAACGCACATTGCATGGCGGAACTCAGCTTACTTTGGCATACACCAGAAATGAATTTTGGATACTCGGATGACGTGTTCCAATTAGTTCGTTCGTTTGGAAATGCGTTAAATGTGCAAGGCATCGAAAGATTCGTGGATGTCAACTCATGGATCAAATACCAACGGAACGAGTCACTCCATCTCGACCATTTCTACACTCTGGTGTGGATTATGCTGGACCTTTGCTACTTAAAACTTGGAAGGGACGAGCAGCTCGACCGTATAAAGCATACATCGCTTTATTCATTTGTGAAGCCACGGCTGCTATACACCTGGAGCAGGTAACGGATTACAGTTCCGATGCCTTTATCGCCGCTTATAAACGATTCACTGCACGTAGAGGAATCTGCTCAACTTTGAGAAGCGACTGTGGAACAACTTTGACCGGTGCTGATAAAGAACTTCGCAATTTATTCTCCTCAGCATCAAAAGAGCTTGCAGCCTTGTCATCGCTACTCGCAAAGGACGGCACTCAATGGTCCTTCAATCCGCCAGCTGCACCTCATTTTGAAGGACTTTCGGAAGCTGGGGTGAGATCTGTGAAACATCATCTACGGAGAGTTATCGGTGATCATCTTCTCACCTATGAGGAGATGAACACCTTTCTGTTACAGACTGAAGCAGTACTAAATTCGAGACCACTATCTGCGCTCACTGAAGATGCAGAGGACTTCAATGCACTGACACCTGGACATTTTCTCATTGGCGGACCGCTAACGACAATTCCTGAGCCTAATCTCGAAAATATCATGACAGCAAGGCTATCACGGTGGCAGCTTCTTCGTCAAATGTTAGACAGCTTTTGAACAAGGTGGTCAAAGAAATGCTTGCAACGCTACCAGACAACATGCAAGTAGAATCAATCCACTCATTCAATCAAGCCTGGTTGTATGGTCCTGCTCATCGATGAACGGTATCCACCGTCAAAGTGGCCACTTGGCCGCATACTCACAGCTCATCCAGGGAAAGATGGACTCTCTCGAGTTTTTACTGTAAAAACTCAAACATCAACACTTAAAAGACCAATCACGAAAATAAGACTTCTTCTGATTAAAATTGACATTGTTTAAAGTTTTCGTTAAACCCGTTCAACGAAACGGGGGAAGAAATGTTTAAAGATGAGTTTAAAAATTTAAGTTAAAACGTATTTTCTCACGGTTTTCTCAAATTGTTCAAACTTTCACTTTTTATATAAACTAACTCACAAAAGCAATTAAAAACTGCAAAACATGTGCTAGCATGTGCTAGCCAGAGTCGAGTCCACCCTTTTTTTATGACATTGCCTGCGCTCAACCCTGACTAGCTCTTTGTTATCGGTACATCGGGTAAAGGATAAGGCCCTTTTTGCTCAAATCGGGTAGTTAGTTCGCTTTTGCCTTAGCTTTCGTAGAGACCTCGCAAAAGTGTTAACGTTAACCGGACATTCAAAAGTCACGAGTCTATTCTCAACAAACTGTTATTTGATCATATCAAAATCAAGTTACTCTCTAAAAAAAAGGGGATAACATTCTGGATAAGTCCTTATGTGAAAGTCTATTATCTATGTTGATTCTCTCCCTTGCGGGCCCTTATGAGTTGTGTTATCCCTGCAAGGGACCCATTCTCTAAAATATGGTTAGATTAGACTTGCAAGTTTTATGTGTCGTTATAAGATCCGACGACTCAAATACTAAAATGAAGAAGAGATTTATTGAGAATCAAAATGTATAATTGGGACAAAATTCCTCAAGGTCCCAACTTAAGATCGAAAGTTTTCAAATCGGGCTGATTTTGAACTAACTTTAGTACTATGGGAGAGAACTTTACCTATATAAAATATTAAGAGATTTTATTTAAAATTGTAGAGGGGGGAGGGGATTAATCTTTTTGGTAAAGTGTGAACTGTGGATTTTGTTAGCTGCTACAGCTAAAATACAGTAGACTTTTTTTTTAAAAGCGACATTTAAAAATTTTTTTTTCCTTTAAAATAAAGCTTAATATGTGTACTTTCAACACCCGAAAAGAAAACAATGCCGTTTTTTTGGTTTTGAATGAGTAGGTAATTAATTAATTAACAAAAATTACTAAAAAATTAAATACTTTACAAACTAATAAACTTTTCTTAATTTTGGGCTTACCAACGTAAAGCTTATCAAATTCCGCATCCAACAAGAATAATTTAAACTATTTTTATAAATAATTGTTAAATAAATAAGTAATAAATTATTTACTTATTTAATAATTACACAGCCACACAAAAAAGTAAAAGTACCCTGGCCGACGAATGAGACCACCCTTCTCTTATGTATTTTGATGCGCTGAACACGAATCTGAAGTCCGTTTTGCTCCATCACGTCAGGATTTTGACATAACCTCAAAAAACAGCGGATTTTAAGTGACAGGAGAACTTTTTTGAATCATGACAGATTTGCTTGAATCTTTTTACTCGGAGGTTTTTTGGGTCGCTGATTACGAATTTAACGTTAGATTTATAAAATTCAAAATGGCGGATCCAATATGGCGGACGAATTTTTAAAAAATAGTTGGATTTTTACAAAAATTAGTATCTGGGTGTTTTTGGGGTCGCTGATAACGAATTTAACGTTAGATTTATAAAATTCAAAATGGCGGACAAATTTTTAAAAATAGTTGGATTTTTACAAAAATTCGTATTTATAAAATCTGACATTAAATTCGTTATCAGCGACCCGAAAAACACCAAGATACTAATTTTTGTAAAAATCCAACTATTTTTTAAAAATTTGTCCGCCATATTGGATCCGCCATTTTGAATTTTATAAATCTGACGTTAAATTCGTAATCAGCGACCCCTAAAACCCCCGAGTAAAAAGATTCAAGCAAATCTGTCATGATTTAAAAAAGTTCTCCTGTTACTTAAAATCCGATGTTTTTTGAGGTTATGTCAAAATCCTGACGTGATGGAGCAAAACGGACTTAAGATTCGTGTTCAGTGCATCAAAATACATAAGGGAAGGGTGGTCTCATTCGTCGGCCAGGGTACTTTTATTTTTTTGTGTGGCTGTGTTATTTATAAAAAATAGTTAAAATTATACTTGTTGAATGCGGAATTAATGGTAAGCCAAAAATTATTAAAAGTTTATTTGCTTGTAAAGTATTTAATTTTTTACTAATTTTTTGTTAAATAATTAATTAATTAAATTAATAGTTAATGTTACACATTATCTGTTATTCTTTATTTGAAGATTATAGAATAGATTTGAATCCTAAATAATTGTTTAAAATTGGCATTAAAAATGCCTTTTCATTGAATTTTACTCCAATAAGAAAGTAATTTCGTTTATTATTTAGATAAAATAATGTTCTTTTATTTTGCACAAAATACTTATAAAATTTACAAGTTTTTACAACTGGAAAGAGTACATGTTAAAGTTGGAGACGGTTTTTAAGCTAATGAGTAATCGAAAAGATACATTTTCTTTGTCTCAGAGTTTCAACTATAGCAAGACCTTTTTTTGTCGCAGAAGGGATAAACTAAACAAAATGCTATTCGAGCAATGATAGTTTTTTGTGAGTCCAAAGTGGGGTTTCATTATCAGATTTCTTAGGAAATAAAACTTAAGATATATTGATACATAATATTTCGAAGAACGAAGTGTATAATAAACATTTGACAAAAATTATTTAGAGTAAGTTAAAAAATACATTAATAATTTGCGAATAAAAATCGTTATTAATAAGTATATAGAATAAGTATTATAATAATACTTAATATTTTTTGGTTTAATGTTAATAAAAATTAGTCTTTGTTTTTAATTAACGTGGTTCTAAACATACTCCCCCCGTTGAGAGTTTACGATCAACACTTAATTTTCATCATTTTGATCGTATATTGGCAATATAGCCAGTTTTTTTGTTGGTCTCTTTAATAATAAGCTATTACCAATTTTTAAAGTTACACTTCGCACCACATTATCACTCCCTGGGTGAAGTTGATGAATTCTAGCTAAAGGCCATTGCATGCATGGAACGTTATCTTCTTTTAACAGGACTAACATTCCCAATTTTGGATTACTTGAATTTTTGTTCCATTTATGACAAATATTTAACTCGTTCAAATACTCCAGACTCCATCTTTTCCAGAAATGTTGACGAACCTGTGTAATCAATTGCCAAGACGATAATCTGTTGGAAGGTATTGTTAAGAGATCAGGTTCAGGCAAACTTATCAGTGCATCGCCAATTAAAAAGTGTCCAGGAGGCAAAACAGAAATATCATTAATATCTGATGATATAGGAACTAAAGGTAGTGAGTTCAGAATTGATTCGATTTCTGTGGAAAGCGTGTAAAATTCTTCAAATGTAAATAATGAATACGAAGCAACTCTTTTAAAATGGTGTTTGAAAGATTTTACTCCAGCTTCCCATAATCCTCCAAAGTGAGGAGAAGAGGGGTGAATAAAATGAAATTCAATATTGTTACCATTCGTGAAATGAACAACTTTATCCTTTAGTTCTTGAGAATTGAGAAGAACATGTAATTCAGTAAGTTCATTTTTTGCACCTTTAAAATTAGTTGCGTTATCACAATATATCGCACAAGGTTTGCCTCGTCTAGCAACAAAACGTTTTAACGCCCCTAAAAACCCTTCAGCGCTTAAATCACTTACTGTCTCAATGTTAATTGCTTTAGCATCCATGCAAACAAAAATCGCAACATACGTTTTTATTTTCTTCAAATTTCTATATTTCCGTCCTTTTATATAAAATGGACCACAATAATCAATTCCAATACGATCGAATGGTCTAGTTCTCATGACGCGAGGACTAGGCAAATCTCCCATTTTATACTCAATTACTTTTGGTTTTGCACAGAAACAAATCACGCATTTTCTAATGATCTTTTTGATTTGATTACGACCATCTATTAGCCAGTACTTTTGACGCATACTGTACAGCGTAGTTTGAGTTCCCCCGTGTAAACAAGCATGATGATAACAAGTGATTATAAGATCCGTAACAAAATTCGATTTTGGTAAGATTATCGGATGTTTTTTGTCAAAACCCATATTAGAATTTCTTAATCGACCACCAACTCGCAATATACCTTTTTCATCAAAAAAAGGATCTAATTTGTGAAGTTGACTTTCTTTGTGTAAACCACCCTCATTTTTTAAGTTATGAACGTCTTTGGGAAAATGAGCATACTGAATCAATTTGATAATAACATTTGCCGCATGTTGCAATTCAACTGTTTTTAAATCATTCTTATATTGTCGATATTCGGGAAAAAATCTATAACAAAGTGCAATGATTCGCTTCAACTTTACAAATGACGAAAAATCTTTAAAGAAACTGATTTCCACATTAATATCGAGACAAATTAATTTCTTTGTTTCAGGTACTGAATTTTTATTAATTTCAGGTTTAAGTTTAGGCCAAAATTCTTCATTTAGAACCAACCATTTTGGACCATTGATCCATAATTCATTTTTAACGAAATCATTAGGTAATTGACCGCGTGACAATTTGTCGGCAGGGTTATCATTAGAACGAACATGACGCCACCGATCAATGTTTGTATTACTTTGTATTTCCGAGACTCTATTTGCGACAAATGTTTTCAAGGTACTGCATCACAGTGGGCCAGGATCGTCGAATTTTGGCCAAAAATACAATTTTTCAACTTTCAAATATGCACAAAAGAATTTATCCACAGTATTTAATAGTAAATAAGGAATTTATTGCATAAAGGATTTGTCAAATAATAAAAAACTGTGTCTTCTAGAACTATTTAAAGTTTAACATTTAAGATAAAATAATAAAATGTTTTTGATTGAAATACTCA